ACATTTGACAAAAGTTATGTTAGCCCTATATCATGAACAAATAAAATGTTACACTAAACTCTGAAGGATAATGGGTGAAAACTAAACCAAAATGTCACAGACTTCAATCTCTAAAAATCAATCTAATTCAAATTTCAATTGAATTCACTCTTCTACATGTATGTTTATTCTCGGTTTAAAGAAAACAAATCCCTCTTTCACCTTTGACAGATTTGCAAAAGAGTTTGTTCAACAAGTTTCTTAGGACAGGCACTCCAGATTAGCATTTACTTTGCACTCTGCAGACTTTACAATTCAACTGTAAGAAAATGCCAATGACCTCTGTCCATTATTCATACTTCACTTGTTTGGTAGAACTCAAAGCTTGTACAGCCATACATAATATATATGTACCTACATACGTACATTTACAGGGTATTATTTATAAGCAGTACACATGTAGAGCTCTGCATTTGGTTAAACAAAAATGAAATAGGTTAAATGGGGTCGTTCTAAAACCTAATGGACCTACACATGAAGAACTGGGGAGTGTTTCACAAAGACTAAGATCGACTTTAAGTTGGATTTAAAGTTAAATATGGCAGGCCATTCATGCCACTTGTTGCTCTAACCATTGTTCTCTTAATTATGATTTTTAGATAATACTTTTTCCTTCAATAATGAACAATCGATTCAGGTAACTTCTGTAGATTTGTGACGTAGATTTGTGACCAGGATTTGTACATGTACATGTACGTCCCTTGAAAAAGTAATGGTTAGAGAAACTAGTTGCATGAAAGGCCTGCCATAGTTAAGTTCAACTTAAAGCCCAAGTCCACTCCAAAAGTAACTTACTTTCAATAGAACCAGAAAAATCAGACAAACCAATCAAAAAAAGTTTGAGCAAAATCGGATAACTAATAACAAAGTTATGAATTTTTAATGACATGAAATAAATTAAAAAATCACTACACAAATTGGCAACTCACTCATGAATCTATGACGTATGGTCCTCACTATCTTTTCTTTATATTGATAATACAAATTTCCTATTTTCACCCTAAGAATCTTATTTCTTCACACCAGCATCCAAGTTAAGATTGTTAGTAATATGTTTTTGTGCGGATGCACAAATAAAAAGTAATTTTTGTCCAGTTAAATCATGAAAAATTGAATTTTGATAAACTATTAATATAAAAATCAATAATTATGAAATACAATATTCAGAAAAAAAGTATAAATTCTTCAAAATTCATAACTTTTGGGAAATGTCATGCACGCAATATGAGATACAAATCATATAACCTGGGCAAAGGCATGGGGAAATCAAGTTTTGGGGGATAAAAAGGGAAATTAATGGGATTAAACTATATAGCTATTGATAAGTTGTGAGGACATGACGTCACAAACTGATAACCATCTTGGCAAATTGTGCTGTGATTCTCATTGTTCCATAGTTTTACATACTTTTTCAAAAATTCATAACTTTCTTATTAGTGATCCGATTTCGCTCAAACTTTTTTTGAATGGTTTGTCTGATTTTTCTGCTTTATTGAAAGTAAGTTATTTTTGGAGTGGACTTGTCCTTTAAAGTCGATCTTAGTCTTTGTGAAACACTCACCTGAAGGTACATTTACTAGTAGGTCTGATACAAGTTTGCAGGCACAAACCCTTTGAAGTCTTCGTGCATAACAGTGTCTGCACTATGAGACTATAATAGGTTTTTTTTTTAGGAGGTTTGAGGTTACACATATGTACGGTATTCTTTAGACAGGGTTAGTTGGCCCCTGAAAAGGACCCACTCGTGCTCTATCTTGACGTTTCGATGGGTTTGTACCCATTGTCTCCAGTTAAAATACAACAGGCTCTGTAGTTCTGTAGCCGCTACTGCGCCACAAACTGACAGTTCTAGGCTCTACTCAAGGCTTCAGGAATTGTGGTAAACTGTCAAACTCGAGTCTGTGCATGCAGACTAATCATACTGTAAGGCAGTAGGTATGAAACTTGAAGCAATTTGGTATGGAGGAATGCCACAAAATAGCTTTTACCCCTGTCACACTACCGAACTCACTACAAAATCTGAGCCATTTGCAGTATTTGTGCCTGCTGATCTCACACAAAAGAGATACATTAATTTAGTCTAAAAGAGATTAACTTTAAACTTCTAGGTTTTCAGTTATGTTCACATGGTTTTTAATTTTAAGTATGCAAAACTTGAAATTATAAAACACAAGACACTAACAATGACAAGGGTTCACAATGGACCAAAACAATGAGTTAATTGCGTCAACACGGAACAAAACATTGAGTGAGGAACCCCGGCTGGTCGTAGTTATTTGGCTAACCTTCACTAATAGTTTATAACTTCAAGTAAATTTGACATAATACATGTATGTCTGCATGGTACCTTACTACAACATCATTTTGATGATTAAAATGACGACCAAAATTTAAAGTTATCGGACCGCCATTTGAACCTTACTAGTATAAATAACAATAGTATTTACTTTGTTTTTTATTACTTTCTTGCTTTCCTGTGCCCTCCACCTCTCTCTCTCCCCCTCTCTCTCTCTCTCTGTCTCTCTCTCTCTATTCCGCTCACCTGTATTGACTAATCTATTGAGTGTTTCTTTCTCCATAGAATCCGATGTCCTTTCAATGGACTGGCTAGGGAGGGAAATGCCTGCCTGCCTCACTCACTTTGAGGTTCCATGGCAAATTGACCCCATTGTGTGGAGTACAATAGTCAATGGGCTCTCCTTTTTAAAGGCATCACATCGGCCATGTCTCCTGTTGTATACTATGAAAATTCAATTCAGAAATCCTTGCAGCGAACGCTGTCTGGACACAGCAAGGGCGATCCAGCACTAGGCCTTCATGTATTAAAATAGCAAATCAATTAACGTAGACTTAATATCACAGAAACCTTCTCATAATCTCTTTCTGCACACCCTCAAACAGGAGGAGAGACCAGAGGGTTACAGTGAATCAGTTCCCTTTTTCGCCTTCCAGGTGAAAGTGACGCCAAATTTGTAATAATTATATTAATAATAACAACAACAACAACAACAACAGGAACAATTCTGTATTAAGTAATATTCTTATTCAACTTTATCTAACAATGAATGCAAATTAATTAAATATCTCATAATGACTCTGTACAGGTATGTATAATTTTAAAGATGCCCTACACTACATTGTACATGGACATGTGTAAGACCACTATAAATCAGTCATCTTTATTTCCATAAAACTGCCTCAATATAATGCTCTTGAGCTGGGGGGGGGGGGGAGGGGGCAGTTTAGTTATAGCATACATTGGTGTACTTGACTTTAGTAGCTAAGAAATAAAAGCACATCTCTCTGAATAGTTTGTTCCTCCTCAATCCATAGGCCTTCATTGCAATATTCCCAGATCAATCTTACCACGGAAATGGAGCGACTCACGGTACAATTTCGACTATTTTGACATTTTATTTTTCTAGAACAAAGCCATCCCTTTAAAAAGAAATCACATCTAGCAGGGACATTCCAATGGGATGCTAATGAATCGGGATACTAACAAGCAAGCTTGGGTGAAACTCGGTCCTTTTCGTTCAATCTCAAATTGCTCCTTCCACACACAAAAGCTTTCGGAGCAACTTGTGAATAACCCATTGTGGGAGACCTCTTTCTCACAACTCGGGGCTTTCGCAGGTTTGTAAAGAGTTGGCAGGACCCCATGTGTGGAGGACGAGAGATCATTATTTCAACTTTCACACCACACCGATGAATTCGTAGATACTGGACAAGGGCACTGTGTGGTCAATGATTTGAAGACATACGTTGTACACCTACACATGTACATGTACATGTACAAGCATTCTTGAATATGACTGAATAGATGGTGTCACACAGAGGCCAAAAATCTGGATTATAGTTATCTGGATTTTAGTTATCCTCTTGATTGCTGTCTGTCATCAATTATCCATCTAAAATCCTCTAACGAATCAAGAAAATTTTCCCTTGATACCGGATAACTAAATTCCGAATTTTTGGCCTCTGTGTGACACCGCCTATAGTGATATAGAGCTCATCTATAGTTCACAGCCAATCAAAAAAATATAACTGTAAAAAGCAGATTTTCGTAAAATGGAACTACAAAAATGCATGTGCGAACAAGATATCATTAATTCAACTTTCACTCCACACTAGCGAATCAATAGATATACACATGCAGACTAGATGTGGTCATCGTGTGGTCAATGCTTTCAATAGATATAACCTACCTGTACATGTACACTGTACAAACATACAGGACATGTCAACAACAACAACAATTTATTGATAGAGCTGAGGGCATTGTTTCACGAAACCGTCATACATCTATTAGTACAAGTTCAACGACATGCCATTGAAACGTGTGTTAAATTTGATACACATGTTTCAATTGGTTGTAAAATTGTAGGCAAGCTTGTACATTTATGGTGGTTTCGTGAAATGCTGGTCAGGTAGTGAATTAAAAGCCAATTAGAAACTGCATGTGTATTTCTACGATAGAACGCAGATGATCAAAAACCACGAGACCCTATGCAATTTCAAGGTAACAGAATCGAAATGATGATTATCTCATTTCGTAGAACTACATGTACATGAAAAGAAATTTGCAAAAAATCTATACCATAAAAAGGGGTCTTCCAAAGCAAAACTATGATTGAAGTTATTTTATTTTTTTAACACACCACTGTATTCTGCACACAAACAAGCATATTCTGACTTCAAAATCAATGTTTTGCTCTCTACAGAATAAAGGTTCGTTCAGTTATGGCACAGTAGCTGCTGCAAACAAAAGCTGCCGTGTTATTTTTAATGTAAACTAATGGCAAAGTTCTGCACGCAACAAAGGTCCTGCGCAGATTCGCTGAGCTATGTGTTATAAGATACAGAAATGTGAAGTGTATTACACTTCACCCTCGTCACAAAAAAATGCTGCCATTTTGCTGCCTCATATCTAAACAAGCCTTTATGATGTTGTTTTTAAATAACTTACAGTATTTGAACAGAACTCAGTCCAGTGAAAGCACCTCCACGAATAGTCTTCATGTTGTTGTTGCTCAAATCCCTGCAAAACAAAGAGAGTAAAGTAAGAAAATACCGGTAAGCATGACTTTTATGGAATACTTGTTTACGTCAATTAATAATATTAATTTCTATAATTATTCTATTTCTCAATTCTCAAAGGCATACATAAATGTTACATACCGCCGATACCGGTATATAAATCTTTAATATTTTCAACAATACATACACTGTATGTATATATGTGCTACTACAACTAAATTGAAACAGATTCAGAAAGATCTCATCAGTATTTCTAAAACACAATTAATGATTGCAATAAGTATGCCCTTTTATTTAAGTAAATGATTAATTTATCAAATTACAAATTGTGCAAAAGCTCACTAAAAACAAATTTACCAAACACATTTATATTACAAGAAGTTTAAGCTAAATGCTTGGTATATTCTTCATTGATTTTGGTGTAAATGATATTGTTGATGATGATGATGATGATGATGATGATGATGATGATGATGATGATGATGATCATGATGATGATGATGATGATGATGATGAAGATGATGATGATGATGATGATGATGATGATGATGATGATGATGATGATGATGATGATGATGATGATGATGATGATGATGATGATGATGATGATGATGATGATGATGATGATGAAGATGATGATGATGATGATGATGATGATGATGATCATGATCATGATGATGATGATGATGATGAGAATGATGATGAGGAGGAGAATGATGGTGAGGAGGAGAATGATGGTGAGGAGAATGATGATGTTGATGATGATTCACAGCATTAAAGGTAATACAAAGTTTTGGTACAGGGTCATGAATTTGGTTCAAATGAACATATTGGAAGCATATACGATCCTACAATATTCAGTGATTGTTGTCGCAGTCGAAATCGGCTCTAAAGTTATGAAATTGTAAATAATAAACACTTCATGTTGAATAGCTCCCTCTCAAGGTTAAGATATTAATTAAGCTATAAAACAATGTTTATTGACTAAAATGGACTGATTAGCTATTCTCGTTCGAAAATTATATACCACAACTACATACTCTGAGATTTTCATGGTCGCAGCTACCATTGTACGGCCGTAGGAGCTATTTGAAATTTATCAAAATTTACCGGGAGCACCGGTAAATCTTTACATGTACAGGTATATTCATTTTTTCTCGAAAGCAGAAGTGTTTTAGGGGCTGACATTTCTGGTGTTTTTAATACACCCACAGGGGCATCCAAATATATTAAAATTGTAAAGAATCACTATCCACCCATTTTTCAAAATTTCCCAAAACTTTGTAATACCTTTAATATGTGCTATAATTCTGTTAAAAAACATTCAAACGCACTGGCTCGTGCACTAAAGTCAGAATTCTGAACTCAAGAGATGTTTATTGCATTATAAGACTTTTTTGCAGTGAATGTGACTCAAAACAATATACATGTAGGCTACATGATACAGGCCCACGTGTATGTACATACAGTGTTGTATGTACATCAACGAAATAGGAGCACTATCAGTGATAAACACTACAGATTTTGTGTTCCAATCAGTTTGAGGTGTTAGTGTACAGAGGATGCATTACTGGGAGATGACAAGTATATGCATTTGAAGCCCAAACAAATGCACCAAAATGAGCCCCTAATCTTCTGTGCAATCAATTCCACATTAAGCTTGCTGTTGTGTCAACATTGTATCACAATCAAGCAAAAGCTCCCCCTGTATGGCTGTATCCATTACAGAGTTTGAATGAAAGACAATGCTGAATCTGAACCTATTCTACCTCTGTTGCATTATATGACAAGAATAAAAGGTGTCAAGACACAATAATGATAATAATAATAATAATAATATTATATTTATAAAGCGCCTTTTCATTAGATACAAAGCGCATAAACAAACAAAAAGAGAGAACATTATCATACAAAGCTTACATTAATTACAAACAGAAAGGAATATTACAACAAATTAGAAAACATGTGTTTTCAGACACTTCTTGCATTGTTCGAGTATGGCAGTAAGGAGTTCCAGGACATACAAAAATTACTGTAAAACCAGGAACATTTCCATGTGCCCGGTAATACAACATTGCAGTTTCTGATAAATTATTTACATGAGTACGCAAAACAAACTCAAAATGCACTGTGAAGAGCAACAAACTTCCTACTAGTACTACAATGTACCTATTAAATGCATTACATGTACATGTATGTATGTAAGTGAATGATCTATCTTATTGTGATCTTGAGAAAATAAAGAAGGAATAGCAGAATGACATCATCAATGCATTACAGACCCCCAAAATACATGTTTCTGACATGGTACACTAAGGCCATTAAAAAAAAACATGTTTAGCGTCCTGCCTTTTTGAAAAAATAAAAAAATGGGAAGGAGGCTTTTTTCTGTTGAACATGGCCGCTTGGTAAATTTTCCCCAGCGGTATGTTTTTCATGTTTTTTTCATTAAAAAAACAATTGGAAAAAATATGAAGAGAAGAGAAAAAAAAGCGGCCTCAAAAAAAGGAAGCGGACGGGTACGCTTAACATTATTTTTATTTTTCTTATAATGGCCTAACGCATGACACAAGTGTTTGTGTCTGCAAACTAGGGGTGGGGGTGGAGGTCCTACAATAATGTAGGTGATACCTGACGACCATTCCCATTTACAGGCCTACATGCATTTGTACATGTACATGTACATGTACATGTAGCTGTCAATCAGGCTGGAAACACAGACCCCTCCCACCCACCCCTGCAGCTCAAAGGAATGGCATGGTTGGTTGGTTGGTTGGCTGTGCCTGGCTTGAAGGAAAGAGCTCACACTGGGATCCGGTCCCGAAGCTTCCAGCAAAGAATGAGATCTGACCACATTTTACAGACTACTGACTGTAGGCCTACAGGTACAGTGTTTGGTCCAATTTTAAATACAGCAAGTAGAAATATAATGCACATGTTCAAAGGGTAAGGCTTTTTTTTTTAAGTAGTGTATTCTTGCTTTCATTTTAACCCATCCCACAGTAAACATGCAATGTATTATGTTTAATACAAGGGAAGAATTAAGTTCATGTGAAAACAAAATAGGAAAGAAAACTCACAATAATTGGGAAACTCACCTCGAATAAAAGAATCATGAAAATCCCACAATGAGGCTACCAATACACAATATAGCGCTACAGCTCTTCTCCCTTCCACAATTTTAAATCTAGATCTAGATTACAAATCAAACAGAATTCTTCCTTACATAAGGCCTGTTTTCATCAGCGTGAGATTGCAAAATATCCCGCTATTTGAACTATCCAGATCGCAAATTATCCAGTTAATTTGCATCTTCATCAGCCCGAAGTTGCAATTTAGCTGGATATTTGGTCGAGATAATCATCCCGAGATATCTTGGGCTAGTTTGCAAAATATCCCGCTATTTGTCCGGTGCGTACTCACCAGCCTGACTCAAGACTCACACTACATGTATGCGCAAACGCTGAGCAAAATATCTCAAGCTTGAGTTTCAAGTCTCGAGCTGATGAAGACGCGATTTGTAACTTCAGGATCATTTCCCAATCAGAAATAGTGGGCTATTTAGCAATCTCGAGCTGATGAAAACAGGCCTATGGTGCATGTTCATGTATACATGTAAACACGTAGTGCAGGTGCACTCCTCGAGCAGTAAATCAATTTTCAGTTGTTAAAGACACCTAATGTGACAGTTTTATGAGCTCTCTTTCACATTCCAGTGAAGGATAGTATAGAGATAAAAACCTGATCCTGCTCACTGCATTATTATCCTAGGAGTTTCCTAAATTTAACTCCTTGGTATAGAAAAATGTGTGTTTGTGTGCAGAGAGAGACTACCGGTAGTTTACAGGCACAAATCTTTGTCAATCATTGTGCATTTAGAGTCTGCACCATAAGACTACAATAGGCTCTGTAGCCTGTACTTTAGCTATTCCTGACAGAGGAAGAAAATGACAGGTCTGGGCTCTGCTCAAGGCTTTAGAAATTGTGGTTGAGTGTTGAATTAGAGACTGTGCTTGCTGACTAGGAAGAGACTAGTGACCTGGAATGATGTGAATTAGTTTTGACTTTTTCCAGTTGAGCAACGCTAGCAAGGTTTAATGCTCAGTGGTCAATATATTTTTTTTCTTTGTAATGTCTTAATAAAAATAAGTTTACAAATATACCTTATTCTTATAAGTCTTCTGTAATGAGTCAAAACAAAAATGTTTAACTGAATAAACTTCTTGTAGGCTATATTATTAGAGAGACAATGACCAAGCTAAACTAGTATTTTTTTTGTTTTGTTATGTGTACAATTTAAAATATGGATCTTTCTTTTTCTTTCTTTTTTATCTTTTAATGTGCTATAAAATGTAGGAAGTTTATCTTTTACAAGTAAAACATGGATGTGGTTAAAGATGAATAAATTTGTCTTTAAATGCTATCCATCCATCATTTGTACCCTTTCTTACCCATCTTGGTAATCTGTATTTCACAAAGTTTGTGTATGTTTCTTAAACATTTGGAATAGTAAACTTGTGGTTGGTTCTACTACTGTAGGTCTATCAAATTAAATACTTTACAAAATACGATTAAAATGGTTTCAGCTACTATAGAACGAAACAAAGCCAGTTGAACATTTCTCTAAAATGCTAAAGATTATGATGGTGATGATTATGATGAAACCATTCCCATGATGATTTATCATGACCAAAGTTATGTAAAACATAGGCAAATTAATCTTTCAAACTCTACTTTAATAAATTTTACCTGGTCATGAGAAAATTATATTTTTATGAAATATTGAACCTTCATGTATAGCATGAAGACCTACAAATAACTATTAAAATGTAGGCCTACATGTATCTTCTCTCTCAACATCCCTCAGGTACACAAACTTATTCTCCACATGCTTGATGCTTTAGAGCACTTTGAGCACATCATCACAGAAAGAATAATGATTTTGAGTTCATAATTCATCCATTGACGACCACCAACATCAAAGGCCTTGGGGCCCAGAAT